GTGAAAGTTTTACTAGTTCTTCCAGATGTCATTCATCACTCTACTTAATAAAATCAAAGGCAAAAAGTCACCAGATGCAAAAAGATTTGGACTGCAACATTAATCATGTTCTTACAAAACATTTGTCTGCCCACCTGGAAATATCAGGTTTGAGTTCTACCATGGCTTTGAAATTTCTGACACAGTCTACTTGGTGAAATAATACTTGAAATTAGCAAATGCTCCTTTGGGGTAAAAACATTTTTCCCAAACAAACAAACAAACAAACAATCCTTCCACTGCAAGTTATGAAATATGGACTATTTTCCTCAGACTGGAAAAAAATGGTCCAGTCCCTGAAAGTAAGTGCATACTAAACTTTAAGGCATTTTATCCATGTATATTTATATTTTGGTATACACAATCTTAAGTGCACACAGTTTTGTGGGGTATATGGTTATTTTGGTCAGCATAATGTTAAATACTGATTTTGAAAATGTTCAGGGGAAAAAAAAGCACAATACTATAGACTGCAATGCTATACTCACTTACCTCGATATAAGTCTTACTGAATTCAGGAGGGCTTATTCCAGGGTAAATATGAATAGCATTGCACAGTTAGTGATGGCGCTTTCAGGACATCTGTATCTGAAACAAACTGTAATTTAAAACAATATGAAGAACAAAAAAGAATGACTTCCACTGAATTTTCATAGCAATTTCCCAGTTAAGCTATTTTAAAAAAATCAAAATTCATATTACATATATCAAGACACCCTTAATTCCAATCACCACCACTATTTACACCAGGGGAATTAACTCATTTTCTCTGCATGTTAATCTGGTAACAATATAGTTGTAATTAATTGTCTTATTTTAGCTGAAAGATTGTCACAATTTAAAACTTGAGACACTTTTTGCACAATAAGTCCTTAGTTACATTTCTTGGATTTAATTCAATCCAACCTGTATAGGAATGAATCATAATCATAATCATTCCATGACTGGGAGAAATATAATAATAGTTGATTAAAAATCTAAACAGCAATGATGTTGACTAGATGACCACAGATTATCATGTAAGAAACAGAAACAAACATACCCCACAATTTAAGGACTAATAAATTCTGTAAAATGTTATTGTAATTTGAACATCCAACACAATCCACATCAAGTCCCATTAAACCCCAAATTGTACAGTGATCATATAGAAAAGGCTTACTAGAGAAATCTGGAACTTGTGTGTGTGTGTGTGTGTGTGTGTGTGTGTGTGTGTGGGCAATCCTGTCAATATGCAGACATCTGCTATTAAAAAATGATTACTGGGACAATTCAGTGCAAAATTATGTGTGTGTCTGTCTTGATAGGATTAGGCCGAACATGTTTTTGCAAAGGTGCCTCTTCCAAGGCAAATCCTGAAAGTATTTATTGAGCTAGTCCCAGTTTGACAGTAAATACTTACAGAATCAAACCCAGTTTTATACATACAATTGTTTCCCCTGCACAATCTGGAAGTGGTTTTCTACTACATTTCACCCCCTCCCCCCACAATTAGGGGTTTAATGTTTTGTTTTGTTTTTTTAAAAAAGAAAACACTCAACAATTGCAAGTGAACATTCAGAGGCTGGGCTAAATATTGAGCTAATATATTCCAACTGCTATTGTGGCGGGAATTTTCATACAAACAAAAACATTACTAATCCTTTTATCACAGGTATTTTCATGTTCAGTAATAAGAAAAATAAGATCACCCTGTTTGCTGCAGGTATCAGCAGCCTCCGTGTGCTGGGGGAGGAATAAGAAAGCAGTTAACTTGACTATAGAATTTGGATAAACAAATCTATTAAAGCATCTCTCTATGGATGTGAAAAGGAATGCTGGGTTCTCTGTTTGTGACATAGCTTTGAACTGTTTCTTTTTCCTTAAGAGAGTACTGACAGAAGATTCTGCAGTATTGCTCTGTTCTTCTGTGAAATGCATTCTAGAACTTTAAAGCTGCAATACAAGGGAAATTAAAGAGAATGGCTCTAGGCATTCAAAGGTACAAGGAGCACAGCACGTTTGAGAAACTCATATCCTATTCTTGGTTTATGTGGTTTATATGTAACATTCCACAGGGGATACATGAATAGGCTTTTAGATTTATTATGCAGCAACATAGAAAACATTGACTGCACTCCTTATTCTAATAAGTTTGAATGTTTGGGCAGACAAATGTCAGAATATGCCGTTAAACCAATTCAATCAAGCTTTTCTGTTTTTTTTAAAAATAACTATGTAACAACAGTTGATTAACGGCAGAACAGAAGAGAAAATACATACTGCTTCACTGAATGGTGATAGCCCTAATATGAAAATGCCCCCATTTCTGAGTGGCAGAAATCCAGATGAGGACTGGATGGCAGCAAAGAGCTAGCCTGTCTGCATCTGTTTGCTGCCATCTAGTGGGCATCTGGATTTTTATATCCCAGTTTTGGAGGCTGTAATCATTTAATAATCATAACATGGATATCCTTCCTATTTTTAAGAATAATTTGTTAGTTGTAATGGATTCCCTTCTTAATCTAATAATATTTTATTTATGGAATAAAAGAGCCAAGTATTGAATGGTATAATATGGTTTAAACCTGGCAGACATGTGAACAGATTGTGCTGGTTCCCCAAATAGTGATATTTGGGTGGAAAATATTTTAAAAAGGCCGAATTTGCACTAAGTCAGTAAATTTCCCTTTTCTCCGGCTTTGATAGACTTAGAATGGATACTCTAGTCATTTATTTTAAAGTCACAGTTACAATTTATAAGGGTCGAGACCTGGTAGCTGTTTCTGTAGACCTCTGAGATATTGATAAATTGGGTTTTGCTTTTGAGATTTTTTTGCCTAAGAAACAACACTTTATCTAACATTCTGAGTCATTTTATTGCACTTTGTTATAAACGTCTCAATAACTTCAATTAAAGAAACAAGCTGTTACCATTCATCCTGAACCAGGAAAAAATAGACAGGAAAAAGGAAACTGCCCTCATTCAAGTAGCAAAGAGTAATTTTCTCACTGTACAGCATGTCAAGAATCCAAATAGAAGTCTATGCATTTGCTGAAGTATCCACTTACTTTAAATCAGAGTATTGTTTCTACAGATACATATTTGAATTTTTAAAATCTTTTGTTAATTTGCAACACTTCATGTCAAACACATATAATACTATAAATTTGCAGTTTCTCCCATTTTCTTCCGTTTAGAGATTATTTGTTTAGAATGACAGATCTACAAGTTCCTTACTAGATTGTGTAGACTGACATTTAACTTAAGAGTTATTTTTTGGGTTACTCTGAACTGTCTGTTCTCCTTTTGAGAGAAGGAGAATTGTTCTCCTTCTGGGGAGAAAATACATTGTCATGCTAAGACAAAGGTAGAGAATCAACACTATGGCAACCAGATATGTAGCATATAACATTTGGGGAAAAAACCCAACTTCTTATAAGTTGCATTTTTTTAAAAAAAATGAGAGAAAAACTCTTTTATGCACCTATTTTGTGTTCTGAAAGTTTTAAATACACATTTGAGAATAACATTATATCCATCTGCATTTTTCTATCATCTTCCCTATATTGTATGGCATAATAGCATAATCCAGCATTTACATGACCCCTCTCTCCTATCTACACATAAAACAGTGAAGATTATGGCACAGTTACTGCAAACATTTGAGGAAATTCTTCAGCCACATGTTTATGTAGGAGAGGAAACAGTCATTTCTTATTTAAGCAAACTAACTTTAGAAAAAAATGTTTGAGTACCAATGATACATTAGCACATTCCTACGTAGCATCTGTGCCCTGTGATTGGAACAGATGTTATTCCTGATGTCTGTGCACATGAATGTATGTATCTTCAAAGCATGTAGGGTTTTTAAATATTTTTAAATCTTCTGACCATTCAAATGATTTAGGTTTTCTCATTACTAGATATTAACTGGGAAGAACAATTCTGAAATGTCAATGTTGACATTGAACACTGAATAAAATAAAGGAATGCTCACTTTCTCTGCAGTCTTTTAAAAATCATGACACAGTATGAACAAAGAAAAGAGGTTACATTCATAAAGAAGCTTTTGAGATATCTGTTGTTTTTAACAGATTTGGGGGGAAAAACCATTTCCAGTACCATCTATTTACTCTGTCTGATTCTGTGCTCAGTGTTTGAATAGTTCCTTTCCCCACTGGTACAGCCAATAGCACCTTTGTTCTTAATAAGAGATTCAGTACCCTTGAACTTAGCATCTACCAAAATATATATATGTATATATATATATATTTATATAATCTTCCACCCGAGAGGAAGAGAAAAGCAGTATCTTATGAAGGCACACCCATGCTGAACAGACAAGAAAATCGAAATCAAAGCATAACTGCACAGGGCAGTCATATTACAAAGCTCATTCTTGAAATCTGAGTGTCATGCTAGAAGAAAATCTAGATATGTATTCTAGTTTGAAGAGATGAATCAAAGGCAATGTCATTTAGCTTTTTTCTGTAAAAAAAGAAAGATTCTGTGTCAATATAGATAGAATCTTATTTCAAGAGGGAAATGAATACTTGTATTGCAGCCTTAAAGATCACATTTTTTTAACTGCAATTATTTGGGTTCTTTATTTATGTAAACTATTGTCCGCAACTTAGCAGACCATGACTGAATGCTTTTGAAACGTTGAAGATTACAAACATGAACTCACAATTAATATCCTCTAAAAATAATTTCACATCTTTCAAAAAGAAAAAAAAGAGAGAAAGGTAAAGAAAAAGGACAATGTGTACTTCTTCACAAGGTAATGCAGCTAATAAAAAAAGAGAGTAGAATTAAAGTATTTACATAATGAGCAATTCTACAGAAGGTGATCATTCCCAAATAAGCACTGCTGATTATATCCCACGACGTGTTTTTTTTAACCAACTCTACCAGATCGGATCCAGTCATCAGCACTTTCAAATAATCCTTAAAAGCTTTCCATGGTTCTTTACATTTATTGTAGAATGATGTTCTTCAGGTGCATTATGCTGGTGTAAGAGGACAGTGTCAAGACAAGGTACCAGCAGGATAAGAGAACTTCTGTGCCGCCGGTGATTCCAAGCTGGGTTGTACTTGGAGCTGGAAAGAGAAGAATACAGAGTAGTTACATATTGATGTTGTTTCGCTACCCCTTATTCATTATTTTATTTACTATAGGTTAATTTTTTTAAAAAAAAGTCTGTAAGTTTGGATGAGTTCATAAACAGGTTTCAAAAATAGCAACCATGTGTTATGCAATGAATGGGAAAATGTATACTTCTGGAAAGCTATCCATGGAAGAGCTATTCTTAGCAAGGTTTATTATAACTCTATATCAGGACTGTCAAACTCCTGGCCCCACGGATCAGATGCGTCAAGTGCTGGCCACACCCACGTCTGGTTTAGCGAAGGGGAAAAAAGTCCCAATACGTCACATGCTGCTGCTGTGAAGACATGAGTTGGACACCCCTGTTTCATATGCATTTAATTAAACCTCCTTTTTTTGGCTTGGAATTCTTGAAAAGAAATATAAATATGCCTTATAATAATTACTGAGGCAAGTCTGGATCATCTTTTGTAGATAATACATTTTACTGCTCTAATACAGGAAATCTGGGACCTATATTCTTTATTAGAATAAAAATGTCTCCACGTAAAAAACTCATTCACTGCATCATTTTTTCTTCAACCTGATACCATTGTTTATTTTCTACTCATGAAGTATCTCAGAAGAACTAAATAATTAAACATGGTGAAAGCAAAAGACTGAGAAGTTGGGTTTCTCAGTTCAGCAAGGCGCTGGGATGGCTTTGGAGAAAGCTTGGCCCCAAATCAATGGAGATTAATTATTTTGGCCTTCAGTAACTTTAAATGATGATCTCAATAAATGAGGGATATTTTTTCAACTAGCCTGAACTCAGACCATGAAGGTCTTTAAAGCTCAAACCAGCACTTTGTATTTCTTCAGAAAAACCAGCACCTATAGTAATGTTAACACAAAGGAAGGAAAAACTGTTCTCAGCATTTTGACTACTAGGAAATATTCAGACATATACACCAGTTTTTTCCTTCTGTGGTATGTTCTAGCAGAATGAAGTTGACAAAGTTTTTGGAATCATTGGATTTATAGAACTTTGTCCTCTGAATTATAGCTAACTGACTTGTGAAATGACAACTCAAACTTTATTCCTTATTACAATGTAAGTTTAAGTTTCCTGCTTGTATCGGAGTTATATACTGCTATTTATTGTAGTACTATATATAGACAGTACAAATACAATTTTTAGCATTGTAGTGGCATAGTATTCCAACTTATTTAGGAAAATTCAGAATTCAAGGTATCTGAAGAAATAATCTGTCAAATATTTATATAAACAAGAATGTCATATCAGATGAAAAGTATTTGAATTTTTTTTTGTGACAATCTGGGATTACTTTGTTTCCCTTGCTTAGTTATTCTTCTCCATTAGAGTTAAACTAAGATTTCAAGAGTTATTTAGTAATCCCTTTTCAGGATATGTATAAAATATAGATTTGATTGCATGGATAATCTGTCCTCCAGGAATAACATTCCTATCTGCTTGTAAGAATTGCCACTTGAGTTCCTGGAAATAATTTGCAAAGAGCATTTCTTTGCTAGAATTTCTATAAGCTTGGCCTTATGTTGTTATTAGGAAAAAGGAGAACAATTTTTCAGACTTAAGATGGTATTGAAGCTATAGGTGATATATAGCTATATTGAAGCAATATATTCAATATATAGCTATATTGAAGCAAATTAAATAAAATCAAAGTTGTCAAAATAAATTAAGCAATGTGAATTCAATTAAGCAAATTATTAAAAGAGAACATTTTTAAATGGCCCAAGTCAATTTCATCTCATTCCCTGCCAAGGATTACGACCTTTAGATTTTTATCCATAGAATAACTTCTTACATTTTAGCAAAAATCTGTGACTTTCCCATAAAGAGAATACAATTTGTATTTCAAATGTGTACCATGAGAAATATATTCACTAGGACTAATATTTCTGAAACTTCACAGATTATTAAAAGACACCTACATGGGTCTATCCAGATAAATGTTCTCTAGGGCAAGTCTTAAAAACATATGAGTAATATGCTAAGAGATTTTGGAGATTTCACTGCAGTAGTTAATGGCTAGCAGTTAGAGTTTTGAAGCGGCTTCACAAACTAATGCACTCTTCTCATTTGAAGAATGAGATGTGGCATCTGCATTATTTTGACTATTGGTTTGATTGGAAAAGGAACTAGAAAAAACAACTAAGAGAGAACATGTTGATGTTTACAGCAAACAATGTTTGCCAAATTCTAATTCTTCTGGAAAACCAAATTGATTCTAGTTAGTACATAAGCACTAGCTTGTTGGCATTGCATAGGACTACCAAGCAAGCAGTGGCTTAGCAGAGCAGGAACAGAGGTGCAGTTCTTGACTTGGATCTTGGACTGGTGGATGCATATGGAAAATTAAAAATAAAACAAAGCCCTTATGGAATACATTGCTACCAACTGGCACTTAATTATATACTGCTCCATAGTGCTTTACAGCACTCTCTGAGCAGTTTAAAATATCAGAATATTGTCCCCAACGATCTGAATCCTCATTTTACTGACCTCAGATGGAAGGCTGAGTCAACTTTGAGCCCCATCAGAATTAAAGTCCTGGCTGCGATACTACATTGTAACCATTGTGTTACAGTTCTATTTACAGTTCCACTAATTCCAAAATTCTTCCTACTTCTGTTTGCTTTTGTTCTTTTTCTGGGCACACTGGTTTTCAGAAACTTCCAAAAAAAAAGGGAAGTTTTTTTTTTAAAAAAATGCTTAGAAAACTTACAGGAAACCATACCCTTTTCAACATATTACATTCCAATTTTTCAAAATTTGTATTTTTTAAAGATAGCAACAGATATTTGTGGATGCAATCAAAGCCCCAGAACTCCAACCCTATTTGTTGGGCATTTGGCTATTGTGTGGTATAAATTATCATTTGTAACTTAGTAGGTGGGATGCTATGCAATTTTGGTTTCCTGAACAAGCATGATCAAGCCAAGCAGCAATAGCAATAGCACTTACACTTATATACCACTTTACAGTGCTTTACAGCCCTCTCTAGATGGTTTACAGAGTCAGCATATTGCCCCCAACAATTTGGGTCCTCATTTTACCCACTTCGGAAGGTTGGGCGGCTGAATAAACCTTGAGCCTGGTGAGATTTGAACTGCCAAATTGCAGTCAGCTAGCAGTCAGCAGAAGTAGCCTGCAGAACTGTACTCTAACCACTGCACCACCGTGGCTCTTAAATGTGGTTGTATCAGTGGTGGGATTCAAATTTTTTTATTACCAGTTCTGTGGGTGTGGCTTATTTGGTGGGTGTAGCTTGGTGGTCATGTGACTGGCTGGGCGTGGCTTGGTGGTCATGTGACTGGGTGGGCATGGCCAACTCAACATCACTCATGTCAAGGGGCGTTTCGCCCAGTCCCTCCCCTCCCAGCCATTCCTTGTTACCCCCAGCCTCAATGTATCTATAGTTCTGTAAAAAATTTCCTGCCTGAACAGAGGGTTGAACTAGAAGACCTCCAAAGTCCCTTTCAACTCTGTTATTCCATTATTCCTAAGTTAAATACCTAAGATCCTTATTGGGACCCTATCTCTTTTACTCCCTCTGGTCTAATGAGTTAATAAGATTTTTAGAAACCTGCAGTTGAAAGTTCTTTATGTCTCCTTACCCTGAAGACCCAATTTCATTTGAAATTTAATCCCAAGCTGATTGCCCTTTTAGCATTTCTCTTGACACTTCTCCAAAATGCACCCTCAAGAAGCCACATCTTTCTCCCCTCCCCCCCCTCTCTCTCTCACACACACATCCGAGGTTGGATTGGATATCTCTCCCCTCCCTCTCTGCTTTAGGCTTAGAAAGTCTGCCAGTGATGCTCCTCATTTGGCAATGCTTAAGGAGAATTAGGGGCTAGAGACAGTTGACATTCTCATCTCTGCTAGAGGTGAGGCTGTCAGAAAGACTTTTTGGCAGGCACGCAATGCCTTCTCCTCAGCCTCTCAGCACTAATGAGAGATGCAGCTCTACTGGCCAGGGTAGGCAAAGCCTCTCATTTTGTACAAACCATCTGCTGCTGGCAGATACACACTTATGGGTGGTGTGAGTGGGTCCATTCAGGGCACGGAAGTTCTGCATGCTAGCTCAGTAGTCCGGCTCGAGCCACAGGTTTCTTTTAAAAAAATTATTTTCCCTATGGGAAGCTACCAAAATGGGAAGCGTGCCTCTGCCTGCATAACTAAAGGGAGACTCGCCACCCTACAAAAGCCAATGGCTTGAAAGCAGCTCCTCTGCTACCCTCCCAATTCCCCTCTGCCTTCCCCATGGGGGGAATTGTAAATGAGGCATGCCATTCGGGTGGGAAATGCCTGGAACACAATAAAGCCCACCCACCCACTGGCAGACTGGCGATTGGGGTGAGAGGAGATGCGGAGAAGGGGAGCCGATCGGAGCCCTCCGAAAGAAGTGTGGTGAAGGAAAGTGCATGTGCTACAGCATGCTGCGGATGCCCTCGCTCGCCCCTTTGCCTGGCTTCCCTCCTCCAATCTCCTCAGTACTGGCTCATGCTCCCCCTCCCCAGTCTATCTGGATTGCAGGCGGAGGCACATTGCCTTTTGCAAGCCCGCTGTCAGTGAAGCTTGGTGCCAGTGAGGGCTGGCTTTTTGCATAGCTTTGTCCAGCTGTCAGGATGGAGGGGGAGAATGGCTTCCTCCCCAGGCCCCCGTCTGTTTTCCCCCTGACAGCTGGATAAAGCTAAGCAAAAAAACAGCCCTCACCGGCACCCAGCTTCACCAACACTGGGCTTGGAAAGGGCAATGTGGCTCCACCTGCAATCAAGATAGACTGGGGAGGGAGAGAGTGTGAGCGAACCAAGGCTTTTCCCTCCAGCCTTTGCCCAAAGCCCCTTGCCGCACCAGGAGATTGAAGTTTGAATTTCTTCACCCCCTCCGACCCGCGCGTACCTTGGCAGTGGGAGTTTCTCTCTGCCCCCCTTTCCAGTTACTAGATCAGGGGGACGAACTTAACTTTGCTGCCCATTGCATTGCAAATAGGAATCTAAAGGCCAAAAAAGAAAGGCAAGTTGTGCTTTGCTCCTGCACCATAAGGCCGTCGCTACTGCCTACCAGCTTTGGGGGCCTCGTGTAAGCGGCTGCAGTGGCGCTTTGCACAAATGCCCCCTGGACCTCTTTTTTCTTTCTTTCTCTTTTCTCTTTCTTTTCTTTCTTGTCCCTCTCCCTTCTGCTCTCATTCCCTCTTTTTCTCTCTTTCCCTCTTTATCTCTCTCTCAAAGCCGTGGCTGGGCCAAGCGTTCTTCACTACTTTCATTTCTTCTTTTTGGAATCCAGACTGGCTGAACAAGGATCACCAGCCATGCTGGAAGCATCCCTTTGGGTGGCCCTTCTTCTCCTCCTCCTTCTCCTCCTTGGGTGTGCACGCCATCCTCCTGGCCCCAACACAGCTGCCAGTCATGAGAGGTGGGGGAGGGGGAGACGGGTCACCTGAAGAAACACTTCCAGTGCAGCTGGCAATCCTTGTTCAGCCAGTCTAGATTCTAAAAAGAAGAAATGAAAGTAGCGAAGAGCACCAAGGAAAGCCCAGCCACAGCTTTGAGGGAGACACACACACACACACACACACACACACACACACACACACACACACACACATAAACAGAGACACAGAGAGTGGGGGAAAGAGAGGGGAAGATAGGAACCCGGCTGCTTCGCTATCCCCTGCTGTCGCCCTTACCTTCTCAGGCCAGGCCAGGGAGGGGAGGGTGAGGGGCAGGACCAGCCACTTCAGGCAAGGCAAAGAGGCGTCGACCAAGCATGGGTGAGTAGAAGCCTGGGAACAGTGGCTCCCGGCTCAGCCGGCCCGAGGGGCTGCTGCAGGCATATCACAACAAGGGGGGGTGAGAAGCCCCGGGACATCCATCCACCCACCTGCTGGCTAGCCAGACCAGACCAGGCTGGGCTGGGATGGAAGAGGTGCATCCACCGGGAGAAGGAAGAAAACATGCTCCGGGAGGGTGGGCAGGCAGGAGGATGTCCCAGGGCTGCTGCACATGTGCACTGCATGTGGAGCAGGTGCACACGCAGTGCGCATGTGCAGCAGCCCTGGGACATCCGCCCGAGCTGTGCCATAGCCACCACATGGTAAGGAAAGCTAGGAGAGTGACCGGGACAAGCAGGTGACCAGTTTGGGGGCATGGCCAGCCAGGGGTCGCCACCAGTTCAGCGACCCATGCCAAATCACCACTACCAGTTTGCCCGAATAGGTGCAAACTGGTTGAATACCACCTCTGGTTGTAATGATGTCAGAATGCTGTTATTAACCCTATCTGTATCTACAACATCTGAGCATTTTAAGTAAAATGCCATTATCAACAGCAGTTAGGGAGCCAATTGCTGTACTTATTCATTCATTTATATTTATTTATTTATTTATCAAATTTATATGCTGCTCATCTTGTGGTGTGAGGTGACATTTTAATTAGATCAATAGTTACTAACAAAGATAACTGTATAAATAGAATGATTTCATCACCATTCTCCATCACAATGGTAATTGTTCCACTATATTATCCTTGCCAATATATTGGAGGAAGAAATCACAGGAAGTGGCTTTGCCTACTTGATAATCCATTCCAAAGCCCAACAATTCACCGATATACAATATACTAATTATTGTGGACTGTTTAGAACTGTAATGTTTTTGTCCATTAATAACTGAGTGACCATTTGCTATCTACTAGCAATAGTTGACTCCCTTATCTTCTTGATTGTGTGCAGAACCTTTGGGAGTGACTACTTATTTCTATTGGCCAACTTTCTTGTGTAGATTTCCATATTTCTAATAATAACTTCAATTGGGAGAAAGTCCTTTATTTCTCTAACACTAGTCATCCTGGATTATATGAAGACTTATATGAAGACTTTATATGAGTAGTTTTTGATCCTGAATGCTTCCAAAGAAGATTTCCCTTCCTATTCTTCTTGCATATCAAAGGTGAATCACAACCAGGCAGTTCAAAATGACAATTGCCACTGATGCACACTTTGAGTAGGAAATAGTAATTTAATTTCTCATAGCTGAGGAGATTTCGCCGGCTGACATTCACTCTTGCATGAGAAATGTATACAGACCTCTCCATGTAGTGAATGTTGGATGCATTCTTTGAACACTGAGTTTAAAGCTAGACCTTATGGCAGCCAGCAGGAATAACTATTAACAAAGAGAATGCACAGATCACAATTGAACTGGTCTGTAAAGGCTGATGACCCGCATGTTACAATTTGAAAAGAAACCTCTGTATTAGAAGTTTAGTGACTAACTAGCCACTAAAACCATATGGACAGAAAGCTGTGATGCAAACAAAGAAGCATTGCACTCTCTCAGATCATAAGAATAATGATATCATTCTGTAAAGTCTCTATCCATAGTGAGGAATACTTAAAAAGAAGCAACATATGGGTTTTTTTTTTTTTTTGGTAAAAATAAAACATTAAAAAGCAGATGTCTTAGGTGTGACCCTATTAGTGTGATACTCATCAATCTCATCAAACCCTATGGGATTTTTTTTCTTAGTAAGATTTCTAGAGGCTTTCACATACTTTTATGTGGTAAGGAATTGCTCGTTAATTTACCAATTAATAGTAAACTAAAGCAAAAATCAAAAGATATAATAAAATCATTTGGAACTCCCATTCTCTCTCTCACTTTTTCATTAAAATTAATCTGAATGTTGAAGTTTCTCTCATCTATCTATCTCATCTATGCTATCTAATGCTATCTAAAGCTATCTATGTTATCTAGCTCATCTATCTTTAGCCCATTTTTCATTAAAATTAATCATAATGTTGAACTTTAGCATAGGAAGTTCCTTCAGTCATGGTTCTCTTAAAGTTACCAGAGCTTTAAGAACTACATCCCAACAGACTATTTTCCTTGAAACAATCCTCATAAAAATCAATAGAGCTTAGATTGAGTTTATTACAAAGAGCAACAAGGCTCCACGTTTATTTTATAATAGTGCATTCATCGCCATTACAAACAAAAATACTTTAATGCTTGCTAATTAAAGTCCTTTTTTAAGCTTAGCTGAGTACAAAACACATGAGATATAGTAATATTAATAGGAGAAAAGCAGAAAGGTGCATCACATTCTGTTTTCTTTGTGGTTGTACAGTCCCCTGAGTTGGCAATTTAATTGTGTTTTGAATAGCAGACTTAAATTCAATTCCTCATTCTCCTTGTAAGAGGAAATCAGTGGCACAGCTGTCACCCACTTGACAGTACTTGTTTCTTATTATGCACAGAGTACGAGATGAACAAAACACAATTTTTACTCCACATGGAGAAGTTTTGCCAACTACCTTCCATTTCCAAGAGCATAAAATTAGCCTCTAATTCAAAAACTTTTGTTTGTGCAAGAATACTTTCAGTTATAAAACTCAGCAATCAAATGCATTCTTAAAGATGCTGAAGAAAGACAGCAGTAGGGTAGTTTTAAATATTATTTCTGTTGATTACAAAGGAAAATTAAATTAGAAATTGGTATGACAAACCAACTTTTCACTGATATCAAAAATCAAGCCAAGAAGATACAAGCACAATTAAAGGTGGGTTTTTAAAAAATCATATTTAAACAGTTAAACCTGTGTAGGAGGCAACTGAGACTGTTGTGACTTCTTCCACAAAGATTAAGAGAAAATTACACAAATCTACTTTTCCTCTGTACTGCGAAAGTTTAAAATCACACCCAATTGTAAAAAGACAAATGAACCAAATTCTACCACTTATCCTTTGTTTGTTTTTAAATTGTGCTATTTAGGAAGGATAGTTTCAAGTAAGCAAATGAAAATATTTAGATGCCTTCTATTGCTGCAACATCATACAATTCTAGTGTGCCAGGAAGAAAAATAAGCTGCAGTTGTTTGAAATGTACAACTTTTTGTTATGTTACCTGTTACATTAACAGCATTACTTTATCTTAGAATTTGTGATGGGCTGCAAATTGAGTTTATTGCCTGAACTAGAAGGCATAAATCTTCAAAACCAAAAGAAATCAGCAATCCATTTTATCTCCAAATGTACCAAAGTCCTCTTTGTATGTTAAGGAATGTTCAAGCCAAAGGACATGAGGCTATATTTGTAATATAATATGCATGCATTATGTACTGTGATAGCAGATGGATATATGCTGTATTGCTATCCCTTTGTTAATAAGGTCTATTACCTAAGCTGGGTGGTGCAATTGCATTGATAGAAAATAAAAGCTTATGAGGTTTCATTTTTGTGAATTGCATTATGAGCTGACTTGCTTTGTCCTGTGTCAGTTAATCTTGATATTAATTCCTTTCATACATGAACATAGAGAAGTGATTTATATCTCCAAAGAAGTCCAATCAAAGTACATTTTAAAGTTATTTATTTATTTAATTTATTCAATTTCTATAGTGGCCCGCTTCAGGCAAGTGATTCCGGGTGGTGAACAATCATAAAACTATTAAAAAGAATTATAACATAATACAAATTAAATATACATGGCAGCCAAGAAAAAAAGTATCCCCATAGATGTCAACCTAGCTAGGAAACAGGGCCCCTTCACACTCTCAGGCCTGAGGCCTGGGCACAAAGGCAGGTCTTCAAGAGGAAATTTTTTTTTAGACTATTGTTGTGAAATACTTGAAATAAAAATAGAAATATTTTTAAAAAACCAAAAAATCTGATAATTACCTGCCATTGGAAAGTTGAGCTTTATTGAGAAGGCTGCTTGTATGAAACTGGGCTCACCAAAGCTCCTAAGCCTAAACATTTCCCACTAATTAAGTGGAGTTTATTTCAGTGGACTGGATTGCTTCCAACTAATATAGAATAGTGCTCACAGATGTGCTGTATGTTGATAAAATTTTATTTTTTTTATCCGATTCTACAGACTTTATCATAATCTACAGGAATAATTTCTTATTTGTTTTGCATATAGTATGGATACTCTATATCCACAGAGCTTCTCTTTTTCTAGGAATAAAAATATCAGGAAAAAATGTTTGTTGAGTCCTGCTGTTTATCTACTGGTTGTGATTTGTAACTATGTTTTAAACAGAAAAGTTCCACAAAAGAGTAACAGTATGAATATCGTGGTTTGCCAGGATCAGAATACTAAATTGAATGCTAATTTGCTTGCTCTGATTGGGTTATTTCTACTATATTATGTTTCTATCAGTTATTTGCCATGCCATATCACTATTCCCAAAGATGGTCCAGTTCCCAGGCAATGAGGATAATTATTTCATTTATCAAACAAAATTTGGGAATTTAGGATCCTATGATCAAGTGACTCAAAAGTTTCTTATTACTGATATTATGGATAAAAGTGGCATCCTCTTTAGATACATTAACCGAATGTATCATTGGATGCAAAAGTTTAGGAATGCCTTATCAAACTGTGTCAATCAACGATTCCTGGTAAAACATGAAATGTGTGCAAATTTGAACATGCACATACTATTTATCTGCAGTTGTTTACAGATGCAAAATAACAAAACAATGAATACTGTCAGTGCACAAACCTACATATCTTTCTAATTAGTACTTTGCAACTTTTAGTAGAAATTGCAGCTTCTAAATGTTTGTGGTTGTCGGCTAACAATCTTTTTATTTTTG